AGACAGAATAATAAAACTGGTCTGTGAAAAAGGCTAGCAGAGTCACAGAGATAAGTTGCCCCCCCCCCAATAAAACCCTGCTAAAAATAATGTTGTGACTACTCTCTTTTATTTAAGAGATAGGTAAACTGAAGTCAGTGAAAGAGACAACTGGTTCCTAAATCAAAATAGTCACCTTAAAATTCTTTCTTTTTAAAGAATTGTCTCTTACTGGATACTATGTAGTGAACCCCAGGAGCATGCCTATTGTGGCGGGAGTGGGGGGGGGGGTGATGGAGCATTATACTGCCAACTTCATTCTCAGCCACCTGGAGGTGGAAAGGAAGAAACAAGCTCAAAATCCTGAAGGCCGCTAGGCTGAAGGCAACATCTTGACTCAGGTAGCAATAAACAAAAGCTGCTACCTAAAAACACAGCCAGCACAAAAAAATTCCAAGTTGTATTTTTTGGAATGAGATCCTGAATCTAAGGTCATTTAACATACTGGAGGGGCCTATTCCCATGACAATAGCAAATATTCCAAGTCAAGATGAGGAGCATTTTCCTATAAAGGCAGATTTTTCACACGATTTCAGTTTGCTGAACTTTTCTAGGTTTGTAATATTTCTTGGTGGCTTTATGCTTTTCTGCAAACTTTTAAGTGACTTTCTTTGAAGAGAGCTATTTAATGCCAATGATTATAGAAAACATTTGTTCATAATTATCCAGACATAGACTGGAACAATGCTGAAACAAGAGCAGCATGCAAAAATGTATTTAAGGACTATCATCCCAAAATGCTGCTAAAAGCTATTAACCAGTATGTGTTAATTGCCACAGCATTCATATTAATTTTCACTTCAGGCTCGACATTGTGGAATATTTCCCTTGGTACATTTTAAACAAAGTTTAATTTAAGGAACTGCTTCTATCAACACTTATGAAAATTAACAGCCAAGCAATTAGCACTCATGAATTATCCCTTCCCCCACGCTCTCTCCAGCTTCCCTGTTAAAACAGTTTCTAACATAGATATGGTTACTTTCTAACAAGTTAACACACTCAAAGTCACAGTTGTCTATATGAACTTGAACTGGTTCTACTTTTTTAAGCACTTGTCAAAGCAAACATTCTTCTTATATTTAGAGTAGAATTTAGCTAAGTCAAATAAGTAAGATATTTAACATTTTAGTAAATCACCAAATAGTATCAAAGTACCTTCTCACCTGGTGCTTAAAAAAACAGCATTGAAGGAAAAAAGAAAAGTAAATACTTGTCTAATCTTTCTGTTTAAAGTCAAAGGCCAAAACCCCACTGGACTCCCTGGTCGTCAAAGGCATCACCTACATCTACTCTGCTGAGCACCTTATTTAACCAGGCTTTTCTAAAGTCCTGGTTTTAAGAACACATCTCCTCTCACAAGATCCTGTCAATAATCTAACAAAGTTACATAGAAGAGTTGACATCACTGGTCCCATTCTTTAGAGAGAAAGAGGCAGGAGTCTGGTATTTGTTAGTTAGGTGGAAAACCTAATTGAGGCAACAACTGATATCAGCAGTTTTGTTAGTAACTGTAATGACAGGAAATGGGTATTGGGTATTTGCAAACTCAGTTTAACCAGAATAGAGATGACACACTAGCAAAAATTTCTCAAGTAAGTGATAACATATAGGATGGAAAGAGTTTGATACACACCTCATTTCAAACAGCACCTCATTTCAAACAGGTGGAGGGACAGGGCAGACCATCCACATATTCTGGGGCACTTAAATCAGTGCTGACTGTTGACAGCCTGTCAGTAGTAGACCAAGCTCCCTCATCAACTCAAAGCAACTCCTGTCACATCTGACATCTCCCACACACAGAAGGGCTGGCACAGGGTGCTTTCCATTATCTCAACATGGAGAACAGAGGTTGGTATTGTTAATGAGACTAGTCAGAGGTCGTCTTTTCAACAGAGTCCTGAGCCCAGTGTTGCCTTGTCCACCTGTGCCCACCCAAAAGCCACTTTCGATCTATCTTGGATTTTTTTCAAATGATCAATAACAATTACTAATAATCGATGAATCCCAAACAGATCACAGCATCACCTATTTGTCAAAGAAGTGATATAAACATTACAATATCACAATAAACCTGATCACAGCATCTACGCATGTGCTACAAAGTCCGTGTCTCGGGCCAGTCCTCCCCTCTCAACTGTATCCTTCAAGAAATTAACCGATCCCGATTTTCAAAAATTACTAACCAGTTACAAGAACCAAATATTTGAAAGAATTCACTTTACTATTTTAAAGGTACTGTTTTCACACAGTACCTAAGAAATGCTTACCCTCAGAATCACTAAAAGCAGCGACCCAGTTTGCACAAACCGCTGAAGACACTAAATGTGCTTTCTTAACTATGAAGTAATTTAAAGCCATACCAAAAACAAAATTCTTTTTTCAAATCTAACGCTAGTTTAATCTTAAGGAGGATTTCACAGCAGTTAGTCTCTTGAGGAAATATATAATTAAGTAGTTTTTTAGCATATTTAATTAGACCCCAAACTCTTCCTTGTCCCCTTCTCTCCCCAATTATGTACCATTTACCCAAGAGACCTAAGCAACTCAGTTAATTATGTAAATAAGGCAAGCGTTATTCCCAAGAAAAGCACTGTGAATATTTGTAGGGGAAAAACTGTACATATTTTAGAGGCTTTAACAAACCTTTGCAAAAAGAAAAAATAGGACTTTCAAAATCCATGGGAAACTCTCACATTTGAGGCAAAAAGCATGGAGTTCAATGACAAGATGGCAAATCATTAACAGGACACTCATTTCACTTCTTAAATATGAGCTGAATAAAAATAAAATAATTTTAAGTTACAACAGTAACAAAAATTTAGTGCTGAATGTCAAATGATTTATAGAAAGAATCAATCTGGAAATTATTAAAGCTGACTCTCACAGAAAAGGCTTTATTATCAAGGGGTTGACATGATCTTAACTCTAGAGGCAGTCATGGTGCCGTATAACTACCACAATCCCATTATTATGCAATCACAAAATGCTAATTTGATCATTTTGAGGTGTTATTTGAATAGTCATTTTAATTTCTAGGTTACAAAAAGGCTTGACTCAAGTATAATTCTCTATTAATCATTGAGATGTCATTGAATATCATATTGATGCATTTCACAAAGATAAAGACTAATTTAATACGTACAATACAATATCCTTCAAATATTAGCCACTTTTATTATGTATCTGCCAAACGCATCAATATTAAATAATAGATGAAAACAGGGCTTAATTGTATTTTAGCAATTGTAAAATGAAGGGTAATAATAAAATAGCATTGCATCACAAGACAGACTTATGGATACATAAATCTTTCATAATCAATGTGTAATGGTGACTGCCCCATACTCACATCTTTTGCTGATTATCAGTAGACTTGATATGACAAAAGCTGTCGAGATTCTTAAGTGTAAATACACATCTAGGAAAAACAACTCCTTTGTGACTAAGGAAATAACTTCCTTATAGCTTTTTTTCTTTAATTTCTTGCTGGTACATCAGAAGTTAGATATATACCAAGCAGAGTTCACAACCTTCTGATAAATCCAAATGTAAGTAATTTACAGTACACTTTAATGGTATAATGAGAAATCTAGAATATAATATTTTCAAAGATCTTAGCCAGTTTATTGGCATCAAAGCATTATTACATATTAATTATTCCAGCAATTACATCCTCAAATAATGAGCTATCAGGCAGTGGAAGCTGATACATTTCAGCCATGTAACCCAGTCCCTCTATCTTCTCACATATCTGCATGAATCAATCACAGTATTTAAGAAAAAAATCCTCTATAGTCCAACTTGCCATGTTCCAGAGGCTGACAGCACTGTCCCCTAGGGGGACCCATGTTTCTCTGCTACATTCCACAAAAGAAAACAGAGGCGGCAGCAGGCAGGGGCAGATTAAAGAGAAGTGTTACATCAATACAATCTCTGATTTACTAAGAGTGATTTCAGATGTTTTTTGGAGGAAAGTCCTGACCATATGAGGAGCTATGTTATCTATGCATTTTATTTCCAGTTCTTGCTTTTCCTCCCCACAAATACTAGTAACTTCATATGCCAAGGACCATCATATATGCTTACCTAAACCTACAGAAACATGCTGAATTGTAGGAGGTGAAAGTGTTTGGAAGAGAAAACATTCCTTGCTGAAGGATAACACTACCAGCACATAACCAGAACCTGACTGTGAAAAATGCAAACATAAGCAGAGAGCTGTATACTTACTAATTGCAATGGTGTTGAAATAAGACAAATTGTACAAAACCCCTCCAGGCAGCAAGCTATCATTCAGCACCCCTGCCAGACAGTAAACATAATGGCAATAAATATAAACATCAACCACTATGGTCTCCTAAATGAGGTCCATCTCGGCACAGAGACACAAACAACAGGGACTGGAGGGGAGAGGTGCTACCCATGGAATACACACCACCTAAAATAGCGGTAATAGTTTTAGAAGGAAAATAAACACACTTTAATTTTATAGCTGCAAATTGTTAGAAAAACAAGAAAAAAATAAAGTCATTCTGTAAGCAAGTTCAAATTAAGATTCCCCACAATGAAGTAATGATAGGCAAAGCAACAGTCTAGAACTCAGAAATGAAGCGCCAATTTGCTAATGTCTGCAGTTATGGTAAAGGTTCAGATAACACAATGTAAACGGCCTCTCAGAACCACTTTCAAGGCTTTCCCAACACAATTAGATCTTGATTAATCACAACCCAACTAACCCAAACACTGAAGAACACTTAGATAAAATTTAAAACACACACACACATCTATCTCAAAACTGTTTTTGTTTTAAACCTTCCAAACATGACACTGTGGAAACATTAAGCCCAAATTTGTATGTTTTTCTATAGCCTGAGAAAATGTGTGTGACCTCTGATTACTGAGGCACTGTGGAAATGCTGCATCAGTATCCACGGGCTGGCTTCTTGGCCACTCACCTTGCCATCGTACTTGGAGTACTCATTGAAAGGGTTGTTCAGCTGCAGAGGACACTGCTCCAGGCGCACAGATAACATTGACTGCTTTCCAGAATTCGGAGGCTTCTCTTTGAGGGACTTTTTTTCAAATAGTGACTTTAACTCTTGGGCTGTGATACAAGAGGAAGGTTAAAAAACATCGTTATGATTACACCCAGAGAGACAACCTGACCACCTTCCCTAAATTCCTCCTTGGAACCTGAAGGAGGGGGTGTCCAGAGACAAGTTCAGGTCTGATGTGCGCAAAAAGCTTTACATGGACGTCAATGTTTGCACACTGAAAAGGCAGGCTGAAAACACACAGGTTAAGCCTATCGGTTTAAAAGGACTAAGGTTTGGGGCAGGGGGTGGGGTAGCAAGAGAAACCAAAACAGCAGTTATTGTCTAAGGAGAGAGCTCTCAGCTAGAAGACCTGAGCTTTGGCCAGGCTTAGCACCAAAAACAGCCATGCAATACCAGACAATTCTCTAATACTCTCTGCATCTGTCAAATTAGATAATCTTGAAGATCTCTCCTGGTTCTAGTATTATGTGATTTTGGAATTTTTATTCCTGAAGGTCAAGGTCCACATCTTAATCTTTTTACAGTCTCTAGTAACACCTCGCACAAAATCTGGATGACAAAGATGAGGAGGAAAAAGAGAGAGAATGTTTATAATAATAGTAACTAACACAGTAATGCTACCATGAAGTATATAGTAGCATTATCTCAATTTTGTCCATGTGGAACTGAAGCTTAGGATATTTTCTGATTAGTCCTAAATAGTAAATAGCAGAGCTAAATTTTGCACCCAGCAAGGCTTTTAGTGATTAGGTACTAATGAACAAAGTAGACCTTCAGTAAATATTGTTACATGAATTAATGAATAAAATAATGATTGAAGGAATTCAGATTAAATTATTAAATCAGAATCTTTAGCTCTTATTCATTAGCAAATCAAGACAAGTTAGTTTCATATCTTCTCAAAGCTGATTCAATTTTCCAAATTAACCCAAATCATTTATGGTGGCAGCTAGAGGTAAGTACAAAGGGGTTCATTATACTTTTCCTTTTATTTTTGTGGCTAGAAAATTTCCATACTTAAATATTTAAATAAATCAATCTTAAATCTTAAAATCTGCAATAGGTTTAATCCTACTTCATTCTTGAGCAAAACCAAATTGAACTGAGACCAAACAGAAGTTGGAAATAGTTTCTTAAAAAAATTTTTTTAATATAACTAAAAGTATATATTCTTAACAAACTAATGGCAGATTTATGGAATGAGTTCCTATAGATGTAAGCAGCAAACAAGAGGAAAGGATCTAATTCTTTTTTAAAATGTAGCACTTGACTATCAAATTCCATTATTTATTTCTTAAAGATTTTATTTTTACATATAACTGGGGTAGAGGCCAGAGGTGTGGGGAGGTGAGAGGATTCATCAGAAACAGAGGGCGAGCAGAGCAGGCAGATCTACAGAAATGCATGCTGAGGGGAGTAGCAGGCAAGACAGGAGAGGTAGGCTACATCATGTGGGCCGGCTCCCTGGCCAGGGATCGAACTCATGCTGCAGTGGCTGCTGATGGCTTCCTGGTGCTGAGACTTCACCCCTTGTGCCACCAGGGAGGCCCTCCAATTCCATTATTATATACAGAACATATAAATACATATAATCAAAAGATACTAAATACACATTTGAAAAGGGTTTAGATTACTATTAAAGTAGTATTTTAAACCTTGGAAGTACGATTTGACCTGTAATCTACTGACAACTTTACTGTTGCACTTTGGAAAGGAATCCTTCTTTATTAAAATACCTACTATGGACCAGGAACAATGCGAGGTGTTTTCTAACTCTTATTTTCACACTTTACGTTCTAGTCAGCATCAGAGCCTTCAGAAGACATCCAGAACCACCTCTACAGTTACCAAAACTGGATCATTAACAGCACTTTCAAACTGGTCTTTCTGCTTCTAATCCTGTTCCCCCAGCCCCATCACTGCCTCTCCCCAACACAGTAGTCAATGAGTCTTTTTAAATATAAGTTACAAATCTTAGAATAAGAATTTATAATCTTAACCACATGAAAAATTTTTGTGTGGGGGGAAAAACATTAGGTAAGTGAAAAGAAAAATAATTAGCTAGGAAAGAATAAAAGTTAATAATAATATTCCTTACATATGAAGATTCCTCAGAACAAACAATAGTATAGAAAAAATGACAAGAAATATGAAATGGCCACAGGAAAAAAAATTCAAATATCTGTTACACAAAGGAAAAGAATGCTCAACCACATTCGTAACAAAGGATATGCAAACACAAAGGCTACACTGAGGTACCATTCTACATTTATTAGATGGCAAAAGTCTAGATGTTTGAGGCTATGAGGAAATAGTCACTCTACACATTAGTGGAAGGAGTGCAAACTAGTGAAACCCCTATGAAAGGAAATGTGGCAAAGTCAAGGAAAACTATGTTTTATCATTTTTTCCATATGAATTCCTTCATATGTAAGGAATATTATTACCACCTTCAGATTCCACTCGTAGCTATACTGGCATGAAAGAAAACATGTGCACAAGGCTGTTCACTACAGTGACGTCTGCTACAGCAAAAGCCTGAAAATAATCAAACACCCTCCCCTCCCTCACAAGGGACTGGATGGCTGAGTTATGGCACACCTTATCATGGAGTACTATGAAGCTGTAAAATGAAATGAAACCTGTTTCTATATATTTGCTTCAGGATGTGCTGCTAAGCAAAAAAAAAAAAAAAAAGCCCCACATTATATGGCGTGTATACTATGAAGTCTTTACTCCAAAGAGGGGTATATGAATGAAAATATGCTTACAGATAGTTTTAAGTGTACAAAACCATCAAAACCTTTTTTATTTTAAATGACTATAGGAACAATGGCAGAGACAAGAACTGAAGCTAGGTGTTCCTGATTTTATACCTTGTTTCATGTATTCAATTTTGGAACCATGTAAATGTTTTAATTATTAAAGAAAATTAAAAGCATAGTCTCTAAAAACATAAGCAAACTGAAATAAATGAAGCTAAGTGTAATTTGAATTGACAATTTAACTACAGAGGAATTATTTTAAGTAACTATCACAGCAATTTGACTGCATGTTTCCTAAACGAATATATCAAAAGAGCAAAAAAAAATTTTTTAACTGTTTTTAGTAATCATACTTAGTAATGATGCTGGTATTTCTATTCTGGAACCCAAGATTTCTGGCATAAAGGATACATAAATATAAAGCAAAAAAATTAAGTAAACTCTTAGTGATCCTAAATTGGAATTGGAATCATAGCATTAACTCTGTATTTCTTCTGAAAAAATTTTTTTTTTTTTTTGCTGAGCTTTAGCTCCTGAAAAAATCTTCAAGAAAAAAGCAATCCAGTCAGTACCCCTAGAACTCAAGCTTTGGTCTCCTAATGCCATTTACTACTAAAAAGAACCAAGCCTCTGGAGAAATTATTGATTCCCGATTTGGGAAAGGAAATGTGTAAGATAAGCCTAGAACACCTTATCATACAAGACAGCAAGGAAGCTATGAAAGCTTACTAGAATTTTAGCAAAATAACTTAGAAGTCAATGTGAAAGGACTCACATTACCCTCCTCCCCCCAAATAGCATCAAAAAAGAATAACAACTGCAATAAATTGAAAAAATATAAAACATGCTTTAAGAGCCCATTATATTCATAATGATATGGGGGGGGGGACCTGGTGATTCATATAGGATGGTAGAGATTACTCTCTTAATTCTGACAACTGCTAAAACAAGGGAAACAATCAGTCATCTCACACCTGTTAGAATGACCTACAGCAAAAAGATAAGAAACAGCAAATGTTGGTTGAGGTGTGGGGGAAAAGGAATTCTCATTCACTCTTCCAGAGTTTAAAAAAAAAAAAAGCTTAGCTCAAGGGAAGAATTAGATATGTTTAATAAAATAATAAATTTTATTTTTCAAAAAGGGAAAGAATCAAGCATTTATCCTACCTTTCTTGTAGGGACAGAACAACATATTAAATGAGACCACAGGGATACAATTAGCAAAACCCAAAATGCAGGAAATTCTATGGGGCAAAAGTTCTTCAACAAATAAATTATAAGGGGGGAAAAAGAATGTATAGATTAAAAAAAGAAATGAGATGTATTTTTGGTTATGTGTGGACCTTTGCTCTAGATCTGAACACAAAAACAGAAAACAAAACTTTGGGACAATCAGGGAAATGTCTGCTAATATTAAAGAATTCCTGTTCATTTTTTGGAAACACATAAGCATTTAAGTGTGAAATTATATGGTAACAAGAATTTGTTTAAAAATAATCCTGAGGGGAGCAGACACAAATATATAAATGACAATAAGATGGTCCCTATGATCATAACTGCTGAAGTTGGGTGATAAGTGTGCATATTGGGGTTCATCATTCACCTCTCTCTATTTTTGTATGTTTGAACTTCTCTGTAATAAAAAGTTGTTTTTTTAAAAAAGTTTTACTGGGGCCTCCCTGGTGGTGCAAAGGGTTAAGCAGAGCTCTGTGAAGCAATCCACAGCCTCTGCAGCACAAGTGAGTTCCATCCCCGGCCAGGGAGCAACCCACATGGCACAGCAGACCTCTCCTGTCTTGCCCGCTGCTCCCCTCAGCAGTGTATTTCTGTCAGTCTGCCTGTTTTGTTCCCCACTCTGTCTCTGGTAGGGAATCCTCTCTCCCCCATCCCCCACCCCCATACCTCTGGCTTATACCCCAGCTCTTGTATGCATAAATAAATAAGACACAAATATAGAAAAATAAGAGTGTGACCAAATGATTACCAAACCAAAATTCCCAATTAAGATCAAAAGCACTTGGCTATGGTTTTTCTCGCCAAAGGAGAATATGTGTTTGAGAGAGATGACAACACAATGGATGATCAGTTTGCCAAAAGTAGTGGATTCTACTTTTCTAGCACATTTCAGCATACCCAGAGTGTCAAGCTGTGGTTTAATGATGGAATGTAGAGAATTCAAAAACACTCTTTCTGCAAGAGTGACCACCAGGTCACTAGCCAGAATCAGGGTCAACATTTCAAAGCACAAAGAGGCATGTTAAGGAAGTTTTTTCATAAATAATACCACAGGGTCAATTACTGAAATTTGTGAGGGGCAGAAAAAAAAGGGAAGGAAACTGAAGAAGAGAGAACACAAATATACACAATGGCCACTCTCGTTACAAATGAAAGGAAAAGGGGGAATACTGGTTTCTCTAGCACAGTCTCTGAAGCAATGAACAGAAATTAAAAGTAGGTTAGAACTGAGTGGAAGACATGTCAAAACTTATTAGATGTATCTGATTATTAGGTGTATCAAAATTTAAATTGAAGAGCTTAGTTCTCAAATTGTAAAAGTGATAATCCAGTTATACTTGAGTTGACCTATTAATTCTATTATTTATTTATGATTTTTTAGATAAGGAAGTGAAGAAGGAAAAACAAAGGGTAGCTGGAAAGATGGGATTAGTTATAAACTGACTCTGTGCTCACTAAGAGATTAATAGGAAAAGCATTAAGATGTTTAAAAAATTGAAGAAAGTAGACAAGATATATGATAAAAAGGTTTTTCAGTGTGTGCTAAGTAGGCAGAGAGAATATTAACTGAGCAACAGAAAAGGTGAGCCTAGAAATATTTTTGAAGTATCAAAAACAAAACTAAAAAAAGACACAGAAGTGAACTATCAGAAAAAGAAAGAAGTAAAAAGGATTTCTGGTTCTACATGGTCCTCCTCAGAAGCAATCATTAAGAAAAGTATACCCATTGAGCAGACTTGGGTTTACAATCACAGTAGGGGAAAGCCATAACCACTTCATATAATGTGGTTTAACAAAAGAGATCGGTCTTTAAATACAGACAGTGCTCAATATAAAGTATGTCGCTACTATACTACCATTCCTAGTCTTGTAACTTTAGCAAGCTAAATACCTCTGAGCCTGACTATCTATTAATGACAACAATGATATCTACACCTTTTAAGTTCACTGCATGGAGGTAAAGCATGTAAAATGCTTAGAATGGCATTGGCAGGTGCTGATATTTTTTGCTTCATAAATATGATGTAGCAATGGAGAATCAGTACAAATGGTTTGGGCACAATTACATGCCATAGTGGTACTGGGAGATGTTAGGAGGATATAGAAGACAGACTGCAGAAATGTCTTTGAAAGAAGAAAAAAAGTCTAGGAAACATGATATAAACATTATAAAATATTTGAACAGTATTTTAGTCTGAAAAAATATCTAAGTCTTCCTTTCTTGCTGAGATTGAAGCTTTGAAAAAACATAATATGGCCAGCTTTTTAATATACACACTACATGAAAACATAAAGTAAATGCTAATAATAGCAGCAACATAATGGTTTTTAAGCTAATGGAAAAGAATTAGCATATATGCAAAACAGATTGTGATTAGGGCTACTAATGAGGCAAGGGAAAGTCTAGGTTGGATCTGCTGGAGGTCCATCATAGGTACTCCTTGGCTCTACGAACAAATACTGGCAGGAACAGTTTGTACAAAATGCGCCTTGCACACATCAAGTCCTGCCACCCAGAACAAAGAGTGGCCAAAAAGACAAGACCTAGAGAATGCACAGCTTCAGAGGGCCAAGGCACCAAGCAAGAAGTTTAAAGCTTAAAACACAAGATATCTGGCCAGAATATTTAAAAGGATGAATTAAAAATAAAGGCTTTTACATAATAAACTAAATAAATCTGAAATAAACAAAATTATTTCCATTTACCTGATTGCTTAGAATTTCTTTCTTTCCACTGAACATTTTTGCATTTGATCTGGTTTTGTCTCTCTTTTCGGAGTCGTTCTAATCTTTGAGCTTGAAAAGAAATATTATAACTATAAGTTTGTCAATGAAAGTTTACTATAAACAAAGACATAATTAACTACCTTTATATGAATAAAGATGTTTTATATTGCATATGTAGGGGGAAAGTCATAAAATTTTAAAGGTGGCACCCCTGAAAAGCAAATACCAACAAAAACATGAAAATATTCTTGATTTATAATTGAAATTAGAGGATATAAAACATTAATAGAGATCATAAAGATAGTATTAACATGGAAGAGAATAATAAAATGTGAAAACTTCTGTGATTAATATGACATTTCATTATATAAATCATTAATAACGGTCTTAAAGGAATTTTAATGCACAAATGAACTGAAGTGAATATTACATTACAGGAATAAAATTACTGTTATGAATTACTCTACCCGTTTCAAAAATTAAAGATAAATGAACTCAGACTAGACTATTAAAGTTTTAAATATAAAATCCTTTATCTAAAAATCATGAAAATTATAAAATGTCAAAGCTATATAAATTAGCATAGCTTTTCTTCAGTGGGCTGAAACAGTTTATAGGTAGTAAAATAAATGATTTGTATCTTAGTAACATTAGTCAAATCTTAAAAAGAACAATTTTTCTCATACAAAATTTTAAGAGATGCTGAAAGGATTAAAAAGTAAATTGCTTGGTCTCTAGGCCACCTCACAATCTTAATCATTAGCATCTAAATGCTACCTTAAATGTGAACAATGAAAACAAAGGTATAACCTAAAAGTGTGCATTTGTGATTATGTTACCACTGACTGATCAACCTTCAAAAATCAGTAAACAAATGCTGCCTGGTACACATTAACAACTGTGTACCTTGACCATAATGGAAAAGTAAGTGACAATTGATGCCACGTCTTGAAATTTGTTTCCTCTTGCTCATCTGTACCTTCCTATCTCCGCATAATGCTAATAAAACCTAAAATAAATAAATTTCTCTTTCAAACCACTTTCAAGGTAGGAAATTATATACTCCTGACTTAGCATTGTAGTAGAGAAACTAATCTTGCCAGAAATTTAAACAATGCTGGCAAAAGCATTCTGACAATGTTACCCTGTATCTAACCAAATCCCATTGAAGAAAAATAGATTCAAGTACAATTAATAAATGTGAAGGGTAGAGCCAAAATAATATAATCATAAAACTCTCCATTTAGCAGCATTCTCCTACCGAAATCCATTCAGCCTGTCATATGAGATACCATCTCAATAACTTGCAAGGAAGTCAGTTTCAACTAGAGAACTGAGAATCAATGGTTCTAAATTATATTCAAACCTTCACTCAAATCCTATTTTGATAAAAGTACCTTTAGATACTAGGAAATGCTATTAATTATTTTTATCATGAGGGCAAATTACTCTTTGTAGATGTCACAGAATGCTGAATTCTGAACCAAAACCTTAACATGCCTTTCACTGTAAATTGTATCCTACTGTACCTGAAGTACTCCTTTATGTACAGGACCATGAAGATAAACATGTAAATATTTTCAGTGTTCTGCTACATCTCCTGCCATTACTTTTCCTGGGAGTTAGAAGGTTACTGCTACTGATTAGAAGACTATATTTTCTGAGCATCTAAAAAATATTATCTCTTAGCAAGCCCTGCTAACATTATATTCTAAATAATTTATTTAAGTAAAGGTTTTGGTTTATTACATTCCCCTTGAAAGTCTTCCCAAAAATATAGTAAGTTGGAAAATGGGCAATCATAAGCTTTTAAAAGCTAACAACTAACTATATGTAAACCAAAGTTGAACATTTTTAACCACAAAGATCAAATGGTAAAAACAATTTAAGAAATAAAGGTAATGTATCAAAAAGGGGCACCTTTTCTAAAGTCACACCCAATGTAGGAATTCCTATTAAAAGTAGTCCTCACAAATATTCAGCTGACTCCCTCCAATGCCTATCCCCCAATAATTCCTCCAGGGACAAGAACTGCCTCAGGCAGCAGCATAACTTGGCTGATCAGCTCTATGTATTGAAGGTTCTTTATTATGTCAATCTGAAATCTGTCTCTAGATAGTCTACCCAGTGGGTGGAACATTGCTCTGGGAAGATATTTAAAACAAGTCCCCCTCCCTTTGTTCATAATGACTTCTTAGAAACATGGTTCTCAGCTCTTCACTGGTTCCTCTTCTAATGGCATCGCTCCAGATACCCTCTCCCCTCATAGTCACAAAGATGGAGATGTTGCTTAGACTCACTTTTGATTTAATATATGCATGTTCCTGTTAGAACACAGAAACTTTTTCATTAAATTTACACCAAAATTATGCATTATTCTGTAAGAGTGTTTAGTGATTTAAAGATCAGAAGACAAAAATAAAAGGCAATGTTTACCTGTATTTGAGCGTCTTCTAATACCAAAGTCCCAACTTGAGGTAATATCGACTGACTGGGCATATACATAGCCCTGAGTCTCACCATTGCTTCCCTGAATTTCTGACCCACTGTCTCCAGGCATTGAAGGAGGATGAATCTTCTCTAGGTCAACATCATGATCAATGAGAACCATCTCACACATTCCTGTGTCATCACTGGTCACGTGTGACTGTCGAATATGAGCTAGAATGATAGTTGGATTGTCCAAGAAGGCCATTCTTTCTGTGGGCCAATTTCCTTAAAAGGCTATTTTCTCCTCTTCATATTGTTTCACGGGTTCACCTACCTAGAAACATGATGTACACAGCAATATTTAAGAATGAGGCAGAAAATGAATGAATCATTTTTCAAACAAATTCAATATGGTAAAATGCTACTTGAAAGAAGTCAACATTTATTCCTGTACCTAGAAGCATAAAAGGATTAAGTCTAAGGTAAAAGGAAATCCTGATAAGCACAGGGGCTACAGCTCTAGTCAATGTCAATGAGATTCCCATGTATCAGAGGACGACTTAACTCTTTTACAAAATAACGGTAACTCCTTAGGCCACTCAAAGAACATTAACTACTATTAAAATAATACATTTCCTTTCTTTCGCCCTTCATTTTCATACAGTATTCTCATTACTTCATAAGGTCATGTGTGAACAATCTGTATTTTCCTCAAATGATGTAATAAAGGATGAAACTGTACTTCTTCAGTTTACATTTACCCTTCCTGTCACATGATTGTGAAGCATCTGAAAGGGCACAAACAAGCTTTCTGTATTTTATGTATGTATTTTACAAAACATACCACCAAAAGTGCTCAGTAAATACATTTTCTTTCTGATTGAAGATAGTATTGTTCTTTTAAAATAAAACTTATTAATCAAATTTGTCTGCTACCAAATTAATTTCTTATTTTAGAAACCTAATTATAAGAACTACTTCCTGAATCCTGTTAAAACTGTAATGGTATTTATTCTGGGAACAACATGGTACCTCCTGAGTTAAAGGAGAAAACTAAACAAAACAAGTATTACAGAGTGGTGGTTAGGAATCTAAGGCAGAGCTGGGTTCAAGTCCTGTCCATATCACTTGCTAGCTAGATCTTGGTCAAAATAACCTTAACCTCTTTGAGCCTCTGTTTTCTTTTCTTCATTTATAGAATGAGGGCTCCAGGGATGAGAGGATATACAGGAGATAATGCAGGTAAAGGGCACAAAGATAACCTTATATTTAAACAGTAGCTGCTATTAATAATACGATTATGATAATTAAAAAATCCACATTAATTCACAAAGTAATCCTAAAATATGTCAACAATGTATCCTTCACTAGTAAGTTCATAGCAGATAAATAAGTAGGTGCTTCCTTGGTGATGAGGTCTCTAAAGGCCATCTGGGTAACCTCCCTGGCCCTCTAAAATGATTATGAAGTACAAGAAATGTGAAGGTTGGACTGAATATGTTCCTAGGACAGTTCTAGGAGATACTTAATTTAGAAAGAACTATAACAACAGATTTTCTTGTTTTTTTTTTTTTTTTTTTTTAACAAATGTATCACAGGGAGAGATCTAGTTAAATCATTACAGCTAACCGCAGTTTTAAAATTTTTTGTCTAGTAACATATTCTATACATCACCTAGTAGGTATTAAAATAAAAATACTGAGAGTATGAGGAAATTAAACTGAAGAGCATCTCCCATCACATAAATTATGTTAATCTTTCTTTTTTTGCTTTAAACATATTCACTGAATATTTACTTTATATTAAGACTAATGGGAGATGCACAGGTGAGTAAGCATCACGGAATCAAAAAGCTTATATTCTTAACACTGACTGAGAATATCTCCCACAACCACAGGATTCTTCTAAGTGTCAAATATCTGAGATAGTCTCAGAAACATTAGTCATTTTAATACATTTTAGATGTATTAATAAAAGGGGAAAATTACAAAATTAAAGGCAAGTATTTAATCTTCACTTGTAAAAATAAGAACTTCTTATACAACCCTGAAGACATACACAACTGCAGAACAACATTTATGAGAATGTTTTGTAACGGAATCATAGCATCGCAGATTGCCAGAGCTGCAAACATCTTGGTAGCAATCACAATAAGTCTCTTCCCTGCTGACATTAGGTGCCTCGTCACCAGCAGAGGGGCGGGCACTTTCCACTCCACATTGAATAGTTCTCCCCTGCAAAAACAAGGGCTGCAGTGAGAAGTCACACATTCCATGCGTGTTCTGGCACCAAAAAGGCAAATGGTAAAGGACAAACAATGAAAGTATACTGAAGTACACTAAAGGGCTTTCTCAGAGAAATGGATGTGTTCCATCATCTCTTATCAACAAAAAGTTAGGAGCAAGCACTTTTGAGGACACACACTAATGCCCTAACTTTATGCCTACAGCACAGAGGCCCCAAAATCCCCAACATGTACAGATATCTTCTCTATTGAATATACTATTTCATACAGAGAGGAATCTGATTCAGTCAATGAATACTTAATTCAATCAGTTCTGATAGGGAACCCCCACAGGACTGCCTTAGGAAACATGCTTCCTGCAGGTGGCATGTTCTTGAGACTTCTAAGTTCCACTAGGACAGGGCCCATTGCACACATCCCTTCTGGCATATGGCAGGAATTCAATAAAGGTTGCCACCCGACATCCAAGAACTATATAATTTTGTCGTAGAGGTAAGTCATATATGTGCATGAAATGTATAAGCTGTGATTATAAAGAAAGCATTGCCTCTTTTTTATTAATATACAAACAAGGGTTCCTCTTCAAAGTGCCATTCAAAACTATCATACTATCAACTTACTCCAACACTACTTTTCAGAATGAAAAGATTTTGTTTTAAATTACTTTAAGAGCAGCAAATTATCATCTGAAGGTGCATCTGATTTCTAAGACAAAATCAGACAGAACGTAGATAACAAGAAGTTATTTTCTCTGAGCAGTTGTGCAAAGATCAAAAAGATTTTTTAAAAGTGAATGTTGGCAGGGATTCAGAGAAATGGGTTCTCTCATGAACTATAAGAGGGAATAAAAATTAGGATTTTTTAAGACAGTAATTTGATAATATCTATCAAACTTAGTAAAATATGAATACCCTTTGGGCAACCTAATTATAGGAACTACTCTCAGGAGGTGTATGCAAAAATATGCGTTCCTGGGTTCCATACAATACTAAAATATTTACAAGTAACCTAACACCCACCAACCGCACATATGCCATGATACAAACATACAACAGGATATTGCATAGTCATTAAAAATTCATGGTAGAGAATAGATAAACCAATGTGGTACAGACATACAACTGATGCTATGTAGCCCTTAAGAGGAAGAAATTCTGACATAAGCTACAACATGGATGAACCCGGAGAACATTAAACTAAATGAAATAAGTCAGTCACAAAAGGCTAAGTATGAAGTCCTAATTATAGCCAAAATCACAGAGGCAGAGAGAGATGAAAAGTTGCAAAGAAGGACAGTGGTGAGAGTTGTATAACCATGTGAATGTATTTAATGTCACTGAACTACAAACTTTAAAAAGGTTAAAATGGTAGGTGTTATGTTATATATATTTGCCACAACTTCTAAAATGTTAAAATCTTAAATTTTAAAATATTTTAAAAAATATCTAGGAAATGCCAGAGCAGACAAAATTCAACAGTTTTTTTTTTTTTAAAGATTTATTTATTTATTTATTTATACAAGCACTGGGTACAGTCAGAAGCGCGGGAGGGTGAGAGAATTCACCAGAGCCAGAACAGGGAGCAGAGCAAGCAGAAGGACCAAAGTACACTGCTGAGGGGAGCAGCGGGCGGCAGGAGAGGTCTTCGTGCCATGTGGGACCCTTGCCTGGGCTGCCAGGGATTGAACTGGTGCTGCAGAGGCTGCGGGCAGCTTCACAACCCAGCGCTCAACCGCTGCACCACCAGGGAGGCCCAATCAACAGTTTCTTTTTGCTATTTAATTACAGAATTTCTCAAAGCTTGTAAACTACTAAAGTATATTGTGAATCTCCAAGAGTAGGGAATCTGTTGTAGTAATATAGCTCAAATTTATTTGACCTCTAAAACACTGTCTCCTCTAGAAACACTGAACCCTATCAATGTATAAGAGAGTGTCACAGGATGTGGCTTGGAAATGCTGCTTTACAAATGCTGTCTTGAATGCCTTCCTTGGAAGTCACTGGTCAGCCCTCCTTACCTGCCTTTAAGCTGGCTGATAAATAAACATCTCAGACTCCAGGTCTGCTCTCCTAAGACATCCTACTTTTCACAAATTCTTTCTCGCATTTTTAACTCCAGGTTCCTTAAAGCATAAATATTTGTTTTACTGGGGCCTCCCCGGTGGCGCAGTGGTTGAGCGCTGGGTTGCGAAGCTGCCCGCAGCCTCTGCAGCGCCGGTTCGATCCCCGGCTGCTCCCTGGCCACGGAAGGAGGGTCCCACATGGCGCGCAGACCTCTCCTGCCGCCCGATGCTCCCCTCAGCAGTGTGCTTCGGTCCTTCTGCCTGCTCTGCTCCCCCGCTCTGGCTCTGGTGAATTCTCTCACCCTCCCGCGCTTCTGACTGTACCCAGTGCTTGTATAAATAAATAAATAAATCTTAAAAAAAAAAAAAAAAACTAGGTTGATGGTTTTAAAAAAAAAAAGATTTGTTTTACTAAAAGCGAAAGACATAGGCACATCCACACAGAGCAGAAAACAAAAAGCAACATCCCAAAACAACAGTGTCATTTTTAATATACCAGATGGATGATCTTCTTTTACACTTCATTCATTCAACAAACATTAAGTTCCTCATATGCTAAGCATAATTCAGATGCTATGACTTTGCACATCCATGTTTTCATAATGATCATGTGACCTGCCTGTGGTAAACTGGAGCCTGCCCTAAATGTGGGGAACAAAGTTTTAGTAGATTTTAATGAATATCAAGTCAATAGAAGTACATTTTTAATAACTCAATAAAACATAAACCTTTCAAACTATTTGCAATGGCTTATAGAGAAACATAAGGAAAATGATATTAAAAATATAAAAAGATAAGAAAAGTGGCAAGATGGGAGTGACTCGGGCTGAATCAGAATCAGCCCATAAGTCTGTGTGAGCAATTAAGATCTTGTACTTTAGCTATAAAGTGCAAAATCCAAGAAGCAAAAAGTAGCTATGAAAGTCGATAAATGAGAAGGACTTCAGAGATCACTTACTTGTTGACCAGAAACCACAGAGGAAGGATTTATTCTAAATTTCTAGTTAGGACTAGGTATATTTTTGAAAATCTCCAACAATTCATGCAATTTCAGCTACAAAGTCGATAACTCAAATTCTCTCTTTAATAATCCCACCATAAGCAAATTAGCCCTTCATATACTTTCTCACTCCCTAAGGACCTGAGATAGGCAGAAACACGACTGAACATGCTTCGTCTAGCCACTGGTTAAAAGAACTTTCAAATACTCTATACACCTCTCTGTGCCAGAAAGACTTCCAGCCTTCTCACCTGCAATCTGTGAAAACTTATCGGAATAAGCAACAGCCTGAGGCTTCTCAAAGGTCTGCAAACTCCCAATCAAAAATTACTGCTGCCCCATCAATGTGTCATATAAATGTTGGCATGTTAATTGTGTATTTATAAGATTGTTAATGGTTAGTTAATTTACCTCCCACACTATTATTGTACTTGAAATGATTTAACGTCTGCTGAGGGAGTTAACAACATGTAACAGCAGATGTGAATTCTTTTTTTTTTTTACCTTTCCACACTGTACCCCGACTTCATGCTACTGGCATTAAGCAAGTAAAAACTTGATCCCCACACGGGATCCCTTAAGAGTGTTACAGAAGTACTCACATCTACTTGGTACAACAAGGAGTGATCACAAGTTAGAAAAACAAAGGTCTTTTTTTTTTTAACAAGGTCTTCCATTTACAAAAGTCAACAGATCTTGTTTTTACTAAGATTTCAACATTCTTTGATTTAGTTAAAGTTTAGAATTCATATCTCCCACAATTTGAAAATAATTGAAGTGACCATTAAAATAAAATGCATTTTATTGCTTTTAAATCTCTTTTTCTAACTCTCTCCAATTTAACTCTAAATTAAATCTTCATTCATTTGTTAGACCAGCAAAACTGAGCTTTTTTTATCTCCTCATGGAATTAAAGTCTCCATGTGAACATGCCTAATTTCATTAAACAGTAAATAGTGAGATTTTTATATCAAGAGAATTTAATTTTTCCTTGCACATTTTTATTTCTATACTTTGACTAAAAGTACTTACTAAACTAATTTAACACAAAGGAAAAGAAATCCATGTATCTTCTTTGGAATAATTTGGGATTCATTCATCAAATATAGTCTGAGAGGTAGGCATCAGGAATCAGACCAAAAAATAAATATAAAAAGTGGTCTGCACCCTCCAGAGGCTTAAAAACGCCAGGAGATGAACTATAACATGTATATATACAACAGTAACAGAAAGCAGTACATCCTAACCACAAAATGAGACACTTAACAATATGTTTTCCAAAAGACAAGACAATTACAGAAAGCTTCAGGAAGGAAAGAGGAAGACAGAAGGCAGGTGAGCTGTTCATGAGGCAGAAAGTGACAGGAGTATTACTGTAGGGCAAGAAGAACAGTAACAGATGACATTTACTGATCTCTTAGTATCAGCTGTGCTAATCACTTTTCATGTAACAACACATTTAATCCTTATGACCATCCCAGGAGCTAGGTATTAATATCCACATTTTATGTATCCAAAGAAAATGTAAGACGTAAAAGTTAAGTAACTTGTCGAATGTCACATGGTGGAATTTTTAAAGGTCTCCCATCAAGAGGTGGCATCTATTTTCCCACTCTTGAGTCTGGGCCCACACTGTGATTTGTTCTGACCAGCAGAATATAATGGAAGTAATATGGGACATCTGAATCTGAGACTTAGGAGGCCTGAAGAGGCCTTGCAGCTTCTGCTCTCACCTTCTTTGCAACATATTCAAATCATGGAAAGAAACCTGGGATACAAGACTGCCTATAGATATGCTCCAACAATTCCACCCCCAGTTATATATTCAAAGACACACAGACACTAATTCTAAGGGATATACGCACTCCTGTGTTCACTGCAGCACTGTTTGCAATAGCCAAGGTATGGAAGCAACCTACATGCCCGACCACAGGTGAGCTGATGAAGATGTGGCATAGATACATAATGGAGCATTACTGGTTGCTTAAAAAGATGCATAGTGCCTTTGGAGACAAAATGGGTGGATCTTGAAGGGACTGCCAAACAAAATAAGTTGGACAAACAAATACATGATTTTTCTCATCTGTGGAATATAAGAAACAAAGCAAAGGAACAGACAAAACTAAACCAAAACAAACCCTAGAAATTTGACTGCAGGACTGGGGTTACCCAAGGGGGGAGAGAAAGGAGGGAGACCAAAGGGAAGAGGGGGCCCCATGGAGTACAGCAGAGGATTATTGGCATTTTGGTGGTGGGTATGGTATGGTAACATACATTTGAAGAGATGTGACCATGTACCCCAAAAACGAAGTGTTTTCAGCCAACTTTATCTCAATAAAAAATAATTTTACTAAAACTAAAAAGAGTGCATGGAGAGGCTCACCTGCCCTATCATCCCAGCTTCCCTACTGATGCCCCTGATGACTGAGTGAGGCCAGGTAGGACCAATCAGACCCCCACCAACGTACCACAACACCAGGTTTCTTCTTTCATCAAATGTCTCTGTTGGACAGAGGGACCCTGATTCTTGATTTTCTTCCCTCGCACCACTAACCTCTATCTGCAACGTCTCCTGAATCTTACCATCCACCAAGATCCAGGTAAAGGGAACCTGGTAGAGTACAATGCCTCTCACACTTCTCCACGAACACACCTGAAGGGCAGAGGAGAATGACCATAAAACAAGGAAGGAGAAAACCTAGGGGGAGTCACCTAAAGCGACATGTTATAAGAAATTTGTTCTTAGAATTTACTGGTATTTTGCATTCTATCCTATAATGTGTCAAGTTTATTTTGTGGCTTTTGTACTCCTGGTACATACCGGAATTCTCATAACCCCAGTTTGAACAGCAAGGTATAATGGAAAAACATAGACTTTGGTGTCAAAAATATCTGATTTTGTGAAGATAAAATGGCACTTTATCAACAGTACTTCACCAACTCAAGATTTAAATTTTGCTCAATGGATACTTCCTATGACAAGTCTGAAGAATAACTGCAATTATAATAATCACACCAAAGTAAACATAAAGATTCAAGAACAAGTTAGACTAAAATGCATTATTATTGAGCTATTAAGAAACAATCAGTGTTTTCAAAGTGTCTTAGAAATGTTTATTAGTTACCAATAGTCATGAAATTTCAGACAACCTAAACACCCACCATCCCCAAATCCCCAAACCTACCAACATTTCTGGCTATTACAAGAAATCTGCTAGTTTGCTGCAATGTAGCCCTAAATTATTTTTCCAATGGGTGTTGTCTCTAACATAATGGCTTTGATTGACATTTGTGGCAATAAACAAAAATTTTAGATTTTAAGATTCCAGGTAAAAATGTTTACAGTTTTACAAACTATGAATACCAAAGAAACTAGACAATTTCTCAAAGTGAAATTACCAGTATAGAAGCTAAAACCCTAAATAACACTAAATTGCCTGCCAAATACCATTTATATGGCAAATATTCATAAAAAAACATATTATGAAAAAGAAAAGCATATTATGTCCTAGATACTGATGATACTATGCTATGCAAAAAATTAAGAGACTTGGCCACTGCCTTCACAGAGCTCAAAGGAGTCAGAATTCCAAGGTGCTCCAGAAATTCTTGCCTCCTGGTATCCACATCTCTGAGTTTTTCCAATTCTTGGCTGTGGGTAAAATCTAACTTGCTTCTAACCAATAAAGTAGAGCAAAGGTAATGGGACAGTTATTGCTTTGATGACTTCCCATTATATACAACACTATCATAGGCAATTGAAGAAAGAGTTTAAGCCAGAGAGATTTTACTGCTCCGTTTGAAGAAGCAAACAGCCATGCAATGGAACTATCTAAAGCAAGGATCTGAGAGCAGCCTCTAGGAGCTGAGAGGCATAGCAAACAGTTGCCAAGAAAATGGGGGTATTAGCTTCATAGCTGCAAGAAAATGAATGTTAAATATTAAGGAGATAATATTCGAAGAACTTGTAGACTAGCTGTGGAGGGCTGAGGGGAAAGGTAAAAAAATGTATGACTTAAAAAATAAATAAAATGTGTGACTTAGAAAATAGCTCTGACAAATGAAACTGTGAATGCAAAAGTAGGAACAGCTTAACAGGGAGGGAGAGGGGAAATGAGGAATTATGTCTCAGACACAATGAGCTTGAGACATCTATGGATTACTCAGAGATCCCGCATCATAAACCTGATAGCCCAGGAGAAAGATCTGAGCAAATTTGGAAGCCATCAGCACACAAATGGCAGACAATCAACGGTTGTGAATGAGTTAACCCAAGAATACATAAGGAAAGAGCAGAAACTAAAGGACAAAATCCAAAAAAAAGCTAGTAGCTAAAGGATGGGCCAAAGAAAAGAAACCCCAGAAGCTATGAAAATCATTAAGTCTTTGCCTAGATTCTAAAGTTAGAATCCATGCTGTGGAAATTCATTAATTACTAAGCAGTTAGTTTCTTCACTGACTTGTCCCTCTTCCCCCATTTCGTAGTAAAAAGTTCCAACTAATAAACTGTAAAATCCCTGAGAGGTAGGACTAGGAGTCTTACTTGGTTTCCTGGCCCTAAAGTTGAATATAAGGTCTGGCATAATGAATTTGGTTGGACAAAGAAAATGGAGATGTTCCTATTTGTCAAGAGAAAGGGTTCATGGAACTTCCTAGAATCCACCCAGAGCAACATAGTGCCTGAAGAGGGCAGAAAGGGGGCAGACCTTGTAATTCATACTGCTGGTGCAAATGTAATATAGAACAGCAACTCAAAACAGTGCGGCAGTTCCTCAAAATGTTAAAGTTACCATATGAGCCAGCAACCCACCCTAAGCCCAATAGATATGTAAACACATGTTCACATCAAAACCTGTACAGGAGGGGCCTCCCTCCCTGGTGGTGCAAGGGGTTAAGCACTGCACTATGAAACTATCCGCAGCCACTGCAGCAGGAGTTCAATCCCCCGCCAGGGAGCAACCCACGTGGTGCAGCAGATCTCTCCTGACATGCCCACTGCTCCCCTCAGCAGTGTGTTTCAGTCAATCCACCTGTTCTGTTCCCCATTCTGTCTCTGGCCACTCCTCTTACCCCACCACATCTCTAGCCTGTACCCCAGTATGCATGCATAAATAAATAAATCTTAAAAAAAAAAACCTGGATAGGAATGCTCAAGCAGTATTCATAATAGCCACAGAATAGAAATCTACATCAACTGATGAGTGGATGAGCAAAAGGTGATACTGTCAGACAGTAGAATATTTAGCAATAAAAAGGAATGAGATACTGATACAAGTTACAACACTGATGAACCTTGAAAACATTATGCTAAGTAAAAAAAGTCAGACACAAAAGACCACATATTGTGTTTCCATTTATGTGAAAGGGTCAGAAAAAGCAAATCCGTAAGAGACAGAAAGTAGATTAATGAGAGGGAGAAATGAGAAGTGACTGATAATGGGAATGGGGTTCATCTCCGGATTATAAAGATGTTCTGGAATTAGAGCGGTGATAGCGACACAACTTTGTGAATATAATAAAAGCCATTAAGTTGTACAGTTTAATAGGGTAAGTGTGATGGTTATGAATTATATTTCAATTTTTTCAAGTGGGGCTAAGAATCATAAGAAAGCTAGAATTCATGCAGAATCCCAGATTTCTTCTAGCTCAGATAATTCTCACACAGGGATACCAATAAATCACCTGGCAACAGTAAACATAAAATGTTTCAAACAACTTGCAACACAAATTAACTACATCAAAGAGATGTCAAATGCTTCCTACAAAAGTGAAAGTATCCAAGTCTCTTCCCCTGGGGACAGAGAAGAATTTCAATATGTTAGTGACCCTGTATGGAAGTAGTTAATCTGTATGTCTAGTGGAGGGAAATTAAATACTAGAGCCAGAAAGTCCTCAAAACTTTAGGTCACTGAAGCAAACACTCACGTGTTGGAGCAGCTTCTCCCAACAAAGCAGCAGACAATGCTTTAATCCACACCAGAGCTGGGTATCAGAAGCCACAGAGTTAACACAATACCTGTCTCAACAGACCACTGAGCTACTGGTACTTGGGGAGTAATTCACCCCTTCACTTTGGAACAAAAAATGCAAGGGGATAAAACAAGTAAAGTTACATGGACAGGACAGAAAACACAAAGGCTGTGGAGAGTTTGGCTGTGTTCCTAATTTCACCATTCAATGCCTGAGGAAACTGGGAAATCTAATTTCTCCGGGCCTCAGGAAGACATTATCACTAACTCATAAAGTTTCTGCCTCAATGCAACGTCCAAAAGGAACACTCAAATATTAGTATTCTTTCTAATTTACCTGAAAGAAATGAGTTGCTAGTCCTGTACTCTCTGGAGTTATATTGGACAGTAAGACTCATGGACCTCTTCTCTAGGAGGTATTCAAACACATATTTCCATCTTAAAATTTGAAAGCAAAGTATGGTGATGACGTAGAGTGTACAGATCTGTAATACTGTACACCCAAAACTTACACAATGCTATAAAAACAATGTTACCTCGATAAAAAAGTTATTGATAAATAAAATTATGAATTGGATGGAATTCATGATAAATAAAAATCAGAAAACAAAGTCCAAATTCAAATCTTTGGCTCCTCTTTTTCTATGAAGCCTATGGCCATTTAATTACCAATCCTGTGCTTCCTCTTCTCTCTCCAGATTTCCTTTTTCCTCTTCATCTCCATAACCACCATCTATTACCTAGGCTAGAGTAATTGTTTCCTAGCTTGTCTTAAAATCCTTCAAAGACTCCCAAACTCCTTACTATAACTAAACCGGTCTATCTCTGCAGTTTCATCTCCACTTAACCTCGTTCTACTCTGGTCATACCCAATTTCTGCTTTCTTCAAGTCTTTAAACATATACTCCTACTCTGTTGTTTCACCTGACTTAGACATCACTTTCTCCTTCACCCTTCAGATCCCAATTTAGACACTGCCTGTGCCAGGAAGGTTTGACCTTATCAAGTCCAGAACAGGTCCTCCTCCATACTCTCATCACTATCACACTTCTAAACCAAGTAATACTTCTCTAACTCCACTGTACATTCCATTACTAGACTACAAGTCCCATGACAGCAGGGTCTGTATCTGTAGTTGTCATGGTTCAATTTCTAATATATATTCAGCAAATACTGGCTGAATAAATGATTAGAATTAAGCAAAAAGCTTAACTGAATGGAAAATTGTGCATATATATTTTCTTCATAAAAATGCTTAATTTTAAAGAAAATTAGATTTAAACAAGTGAAATCATAACTGTGGAGGAAAGAGACTTACGTACACATACACTTTCTATAACTTGGGCAGGTATAAAATTCAATACTAAATATAATCAAAAGGAGCTAACCTACTACTTCAGCAGGAATGGTGTTCCTAACATTGCTTTAAAACTCCTAATCTCCTTAGCTGAAAAAAGCAGGAAAGGCACATATGATGCAAATTATAAACATTACAGTCAAATCATACACTGGAGTAAAACTGATGGAAACTGCTTCACCTCTCACCCCCCGAAAAAGAATGTCAGACACACTTGATAGAAATGCTGCTTACTCCAAATAGCTCACCAAGTAAAGGTTACTGTGAAATACTTCAAATTCCATAAGGACACCAAACAGCAAAATCTGAGAAGAGAATGTTCCAACCCCAGTCTAATGGACAAAAGGTACAAATGAAATAAACCCTGACACATGGTGACTCTCTAAGGAAGTCTAAAACTGCGGACTTTTTTTTGAATGAATGCATTTGTTCTGAAGTCATCAACAAAGCATCGGTTTTGAAATAAGTTCAAAATACTTAACATTTTTATAAATATAAATGACAGAGTTATTATTGAAGACAACTAAATGTTTTGTTGTGTGGTTTTTGCTTTGTTTTGGTTTTTTTGCCTAGTTTAGGATATATAACACATTTCAGACTTAATTTTGTATTTATTTTATATCAACAATCTGCATTCT